CTTTCTTCAGTGAACAAGAGTTTCTCCAGACTAATAATTTGTCTTGGTTTTACTTTAAGTCTAATTACAGTAGTACATAGCATTTGAATGCCCTCAACATCCTACATGCAAATCCCACATTCATTTTTAAATCTTAGTTTGTCTTGGCTGATCTTTCCAAGATTTATTTCCTTCCTTCCTCCATCCAATTATTAACTGAAACATTGTTATTAACAAAATAATGTACAGTAATCAAAATAACAGGAGTCCCCACAAAAGAAAACATAAAAGGCTTGCAAAATTATTTCAAAACCAAACACACTTAAGAATTTTTACCAGTTTTCTCAAAAGTCCTCTTGCTTGTTCCTGTTCCACAAAATACTAATTCAGATACTGACAGGCCAAACAGCCTTATCATTTCCATCTAATTCAGCATCTGAAAATAGGATGCTACATTTCTGGCAGCTGTTCCTTCGCAAGTGTTTGTTACAAGCAATTATGACATCTTGACATTATCATAGAAGTGAAGTTACTTCAGTAAGCAATAGGTAGATTGATGACCAGTCTCATTCTGAGACTAGTTTCATTGCAATGGTTAATAAAAATATTAACTTCAAATCCTATTCATTCCTTGAGTGTGAATGCTTGTGAATGTATTACCTTAACATTTATCATTAGTAGTGCATTTTTCTTGTCATTTTCAGTTTTACATATGAAGTTCTGGTTGAATTGCCACCTATTGTATAGAAAGGAGAGTGAGTGAGGAAGAGAGAACAAGAAGCAGACTGAGAGAGTGAAGAAGGGATAGAATGTCTTGTTGAAATAATGACAATCTACAAGATTTGGTGTAAAGTCTTGTTAAACCAATAAAAGTTATATCTGAGTGTAGATTAAAAGCAAAATAAAAAGTGCCTATTTTGAAGACTATTGTCCTGCTTCTAAAAAGTACATTGTACCCAAACAACTCTTACATTTGTCTGCCAGCTATTGTTCAGTCATTTTCACCACTCTCTTGGGCATCCTATCACAGGAAATGCATAAAATTGTTCTAGAGAAGCCTGCCAGTGGAAGATGAGAACCCATCCACCCACAGGCCCACAAAGATAACAAAGAATGCAAAATATATGGCAGTTTTTCATCCTTCCCTTAATTGTAAACCTAAGGCATGAAATCTGGCGAGGCTCTAAATAATTGATTAAGTTCTGTCTCACTTATCATTTCATTTCTAAGTGGGTCAGTAGCGTGATTACTCAGTTGAATAACAAAATTTATTAAAATTAAATCTGATGGGCAAATTTATTTGTTTATTTCATTAACTAGTTTCTAGCCCACACAGCTCCAAAACAAGACTGGACAGCTTCACAAAAATAAAAGAATAAGACAGCATATACACAGCAATGTACATAAAACAACAACCCCTCTGAGGGAACAGAACCATCCTGCAACATCCCCCTGCAACTTAAAGAAACTATTTAAGGGGCAGGCAGCTGCTACATGGGATTAAAATTGGCGGCGGGCAGTCCTATGGAAAGTCAGATGGTGTTTGTCATTTATTGCTTGTGACACATTTCCCCAGGACAGTGTTTATCAACCCTGGCAACTTTAACATGCATGGACTTCAACTCCCAGAACGGAAGTGACTGGGGAAACCTGGGAGTAGAAATCCACACGTTTTAAAGTTGCAGGATTGAGAAAAACAAACAACCCAAGAGTCTGCATTTCATATTTGTTTCCCATTGGGAAAATTAGATGCTATTCAACTCCCTTCCCATGGAAACCAATGAGACTTACAGTGCCAAAACTTCCTTGAAGCTGGCCCTTTTAATCATTCCCTTCCTTGAGCTGTCTCCTTTTACAAATTCCTTGGAACTGCTTCATCCAATCTTCTTTATCATAATGGTAGAAGCAGCAGAAGGACCAGAAATAGAGATAATGTGGTTATATTGTTTATGTGTTTTCTTTCGACCATGAATGAGGCAAAAACCTGAATACCAAATCCATTTTTCAAAGTGACATGAAGAGCTCAAATATAACAAAAGCATGGGGTACCCCAATGGTGAGAAGCCTACTAAAGCATTGTTTGAAAACTTTATTGTGAGCTAGGATGTATGCAATATCTTGGGTTATTTAACATCAACAGTCACACAGTGATTTAGCCTTAATAACTGTATTAATTTAATTGCATAGAACACTCTGAATATAAAACTTAGCTACTACTCTTCCTAAGGCTCTGGAACAACATGGGCTACAAATATTAATTAAATTCATTGCTTCCTTAATCACACCTTCAATCAGACTGAAGCTAGATGAAAAAGACAAACAATAAAACTTCTTCACAAATATCCTTCTTGTTCAACCCATTATGAGACAAAGAATAAACATGGATCATGAAAACATTGACAATTTAATTTGAATCATTGATTTGACAATATAGTGTTTGCTGCATGAGAGAACCAAGGTACATTTCTATAGTATGTATATACCTGTGCATTTCAGCCTGATAGTGTTTTGATTCAGAGATGGGAATCCAAAATACCTTTAAAAAAAAGATGCTTTGGTGCATCTGTAACTGTTAGCAACTCTTAAACCAAACGTATCTTTTCCAGGAATTGCACTGCAGCTGTAGAGGGCAGTTGTGCAATCCTAGGCACAAATGCAGCTGTTTTAAGTGGCTGTCAGCAGATGCCAGCTAGACGAAACACCCCATATGCTCTGAAACACTTTTAAAATCATGCCTTCATTCTTTTATACTTCTTATCAGACATGAATGGGATTGCAGTCTATTCTATAAATTTATCCTAATTTTCTTCCCTTGTAATTGCTATGCGCTGCCTTAGGAAAGAACTGTACCTTAAGGTTGTTGAGAATTATGAACACATTCTTAAATAGCTTAGCACATAAGCTAAGTTATCCAGAACTGCAGGGAGCATTTACTACTTATTATTGAGTCCCATACAATAAACATGAACTTTTTTTTCCCAAAAAATTATTTCATTACTTGCCACAGTAATAAAAAAAACTATACACAAAATTATAAAACAAGAAAACGAAGTAAAACTTGGAAAAAAGAAACAATATACAGGGCACAAGAATTCATGCTCATAAATGGTGGTCATATCTCATTGTAAAATCCACAGCTAAACTATATTAATAAGAATTTCATTTCTGTGTTGTTAATGATATCAATATTGAAAAGCACCGAGTAGTTGGGGCCGCATATTTAACCTTCAACCAATGGCAGAGAAGTATTTTTGCTAAAAGCAGAGCACAAAGAATCTGTTTTCTTTCAGCAGATAATGTCCACGTGACAGAGGTATCATTCAAAAGGATATGAATCTCTGAGAATATAACATCTCTCACAGTTAATACTACATAGAAACACAGAAAAGCTATGGCAAAAAGAAGACCTAATGGTCCATTGAGTCTGCCCATTGAGTTTTCTTTTTTGTTTTCTTTTTAATTTATATATTATTTTTAGTTATTATTTTGACATTTTATTAAAAATTTTTGTTGTTTATCCCAAGCAAGTTTAAACTCAGTTACTGATGATTGACCAACTATCTCTGCTGGAAGTTAGTTCCAACCTTCTACTATTCTTTCCATGAATATCAAATCTGGAATTTTAATACCACCTATTAGCTGGGTCACATAGTGCTACTTATACCATAGTTTATAATAAAGTTTAATTTCTTTTGATGAAGTTCTATTAATCAGCCCTGGTGGCCTAGAGTATAGCTCTCTCCTCACAATCAGGAGGGCTGTGAGTTCGACCCTAGGTAGAGGCTAATATTTGGAATAGACTCTCCTGCTGAAGCAGGGGGTTGGACTAGATGACCTCCAAGACCCCTTCCAACTCTGTTATTCTATCTACTATAATTTAGTTTGAAATGTTTTTGACTTTCTTAGAAAGTCCAAAGTTCAGTCACTATGCCTTTTGCTTTTATTATTTGAATATGAAATCACTAAATATTTCATAGCACCATTTGGGGAAGGGGGTTTGGCTTCCAATCAGCATTAAATCCTGGTGACTGGACAATTCCATGCAGTTTTCTTGGCAAGGATTTGGAACCTGGGCCTTTTTCCAATGCTGAGAGAGAAGGACTGCCCCAAGGTCACCCATTTGGCTTTCACAGGATTAGCCTTCTGGTTTCTATCTTGGTGCCTTAGTTACTACTAATTGTTTAGTAGTAGTAGTGGTAGTAGTGGTGGTAGTGGTAGTAGTAATACTACACGATACTAATTAACCTTTAAGTGAATTGCTGAAAATATGGCTATTTTTGAATGTCTCTCACGTTTCTTGCAAAGAATTTCCCCTCTTACATAGCAACAGCTATGCACCGAACTGATTCCCCGCAGGCGTTTGGCGAGGCAAAGTGGATCTTGAACGCCATGCTTTCCGCCACCATTCCGAGTGGTCGTCTCCCTTCCTTCCTCACGTAGAGTTCTTTATGCGGTCATCGCGGGCACATTCTGCCCCACTGACAGAAATAGGTTTCCAACGGCGCGGGGAGATGGGAGCGGCGAGAGTCCTCCCGCACAAACCCTCTCCCCGGCGTGGCCAGGCCAAGTGGAAAAACGCGCTAACGCGACCCAAAAGCCAGCAAGCCCGCACCTCCTTCCCTTTGCTCCGGGAAACTTGACCTGGCCGAGAGCGACGGACCGCAACGGGAGTAGGAAACGACGTCGCGGCCACGGCAGAGACGGAGAGACCGCGGCCGCGAGGAAATGCTGGAAGGCGTCCGAGACCCGCTCAGATGACAGTAAACAATCTTAATTGCGGGGGGGGAGGAAAGAGACCGGGACTTATTTGCAGGGCCGTGCCCGCCGTGGCGTCTGGAAGGCCCGGCCGTTGCGTAAGCTCCGTTCGGTCGCTAAACGGTTCCCCATTCGGTTACATAAGCGTGCCGCTTTTGCAAGCGTCCTGTGTTTCGCCTGCCTCCCAGGTGGGGGGAAGAGAGAGCGGAGAATCGCAAGTAGCGGATCTCAGCCAAGGGCGCGCAAAGCCACGGCCGCGATCATCCCTCCCGGGTCCAGGCCTTCCCTTCCCCCCCCCCCCCCCCCGTCCCCGAGATCATTTCTGCGCAGCGCTCTGCGGCGAAAAGATGAGTCAAGCGGCCCTTCGCCCGCAGCAGGAAGAGGGCAAGAGACGGGGAAGGCCGAGAGGGAGGAGTCGCTGCCAGCGCCATTGATTCAAACGCGCCGCAGCTCCGGGTCCTGGAGTCCTCCAGCTGCAGGGCGGTCTTGGCGGAGGGGCTCTTTGGAGGCGCTGCTTGGGGAGGTGAGCGGAACTCCAGCCATAGTAGCGGTGGGTGGGGGTCGAGGAGGAGGTGGGAGGGGGCCGGCGGGGCAGTCTATCACTTTCGCTTTGAATCGGAATCAGAATAGAATTGGAAGGGGACTTTAGAGGTCTTCTAGCCGAGCCCCCTGCTCAAGCAGGGGACCCTATATCATTTCAGACAGGTCGGGCTGTCCAGTCTCTTCTTAACCTCCAGTGATGGAGCACCCGCGACTTCAGAAGGCAAAGCTGTTCCAATGGTTAACTCTCCGGCTGCCAGCCTGGTAATCTCTCCCCGGCTACAGTGAGTGATGAGCTGCTTTCATTGGCGGAGGAAAAGCAAACTTTTCTTCCTCTCGCGGAGTCGGTCACCTGCGGGGAGAGGAATATCGCCCGGGGAAGCACGAGTGTGGTCCGGGACGCGTGGCTGAAATGGAAGGGAAGGCAAAGGACTCCAGGGTGGGTTGCCGGTTCCCCCCCCCCCCCCCCCCCCCCTACTGTTCAAACTGTCCAGTTCTAGCGATATCTCGTATTCCGGGCTTGGTATTCCGGAAAAGTTATTTTATGCAAAAGTTATTTTATGCAGACACGCTGCTATCATTGTAGCGGAGTTGGCTTTGACGCTTTCGTTTCCCTCTTGTTTCCTGCCACAGTTACTCTGTCCTCCCAACGCCTGCCTCGCGCGTGGTAATCTCGGTAGGCTGTTTGTTGTCTCTGTAATAAATATCAGGGTGGTTTGAACTGGCTCAATTCTTTGGTAGAGACAGCACTGATTATTAAGAACTACCCCCCTCCTTTCAAGATAATGGTTATACTAGAATAATTAAAATTCATTTAGATGCAGGTTTTGATGATCGCTGTGTTGTCGTGTGACTGCGCAGAGTTAGACTGCAGAATTGGCAGGCGAGTTGAGTTGCTGGTGCGCCGTGAAAAGGCGGTGAAAGGAGGAAGATAGTGAGAGGCTTTGAAGAACCAGATGTGTAGTTGCCCGCCAGGGTTGGCTTCACAAAATGGGTGTGCCCAAAGTAAGAAAAGAAGAACTTGGTTTTTGCTAAGTGGGCGTGCCTACTATAAGGGCAAACACCTTCCATGGGATAGGAGGAGTGCTAGTGTAAAACAGAAGTGGGGGTGGATGGGTTGTGCAACTGAGTACTTGTGCTATTTATATTGCAACTTTGTTGAATCAATTGAAAGAGGCCTCTAGCTGATATTGTATCTTTTGCTGAATGTATATCTAAGAGTTGGGCTGGCATTTTGGGAAAAAAGACATTTCTGTTCAATCCTCTGAGAAGGTTAACTTATGGGGGCTTCTCCTGAAATGCTGAAACATTTATTCCAGCCTATGAAATGATTTTTTGTTCTCATTTAGGCCAGGGAGCATCAGGAGTTATAATCTTACTATAACTTTGCTTACTTTTTTCTTAAACAGTGTTTTATTCATTTTGTTTTTCCTGGTATAGCTACAGGGCAGTGTCATTCAGTTTTAGTTGACATCAGATTTATTAGAAGTGAACTTTGGAAGAAACCTTCCTGTTACCAAAGATGCAGAATAGAGCTCTCAATGTTCACAAAAAAAAATGTTTGGCAACATTTTTCCTCCCAATTCACTTGGAATGTATTGAGACTGTCATTAAAGATGGTCATTGGCATGTTCTAGAAAAAAACAAGAACAGATGCTGTAAGTAACCTGGCATCCTTTAAGTATGTTTGTATCTCCCAAATATACTTCACTGGTGGGACCATTGATTGTAATAACTGTGAGGGTAATTGAACACATTTGCAGTGCACCAGTTGGAAAAAGACATTATCCAAGGCTGCTGTCTCTTAACTCTTTGGGAGAGAGTCATATATAGAGACCTTGCTGTTTTCTGAGTTTGGTTGTTTGCAGACATTTAATTTCATGTTCGATATGAAACATCTGCAAGCAAATGAAGTTTCAGAGAGCACCAAGGTTTACACAGTTCAACATATATTCTTTGCTATTGAAGGATCATATATACTTTTATATTTTTGGCAGTGTAAGTGCAACTGACTGGAAATTTAAAATCAATTAAAATTAGCAAAAGGTAAACACATTTTATTTGGCTGTTTCCTGCATGCTTTATAGTACTAATATGTGGTGGGTAATAGATTGGTAAACTCAGAAAATCTAAGTTCAAAAACCCCTAGATTATGGAGATTTACTGGGTAATTTGGGACCAGTTGGTTTTTCAATTTAACCCCATACATACTGTCTTACGTACCATAAAGAAAAGATAGATAATAAATAAATAAATAGGATGAGGACTTCTGTTCCTTTTAAGGCTAGCCTTCAGTTGAACGTAGTATTGTCAAATCACCATCAAGATTGGCTCTAGGTCAGTTGTACTAAGAATTATACTTTTTACAGATGAAAAATAATGTGGGGTAGATATGAATTTTACTTATGTATGTACTTATTTGCAAAGCCTAAATCTGCTATATCTATAATCTATAATATGCTGACACTGAGCAACAACTAAAGCGTTCATAATAATACAAGCCAACCCATTCTTCAAACCAGTTCCAAGAGACAATTGCAGTAAACCAGTCTTCCTGGCTTGATGGAAGAACCAGCTTTTCACCAACTTCCTAAAAACTGAAAGGGAAGGCACCAATCCTATTTTTCTGCCCGGAAGGGCAAACACTGGAAAGGTGTTTTATGTGGTTCCCAAAGATGACAAACTCTAACTGGGAAGACATCTAGTGAGCCTGCCCTGTTACATTTTATCGGACAGGCAGATATTAGATGGAAAAGATAATTTCATGACTGTGAACTGTTCTGAACATGAAGGGCTTTAAAGGTGACCACCGACACCTTAAATTCCATCCGAAAGCCAACTGACAACCAGGGCAGTTCTCAGAGTAAAAGTGTGACCATTTCCTGACCTGAGGCATTCTGGACCAGCTGTAGCTTCCTAGTGGCCAAGCCCCAAAATTTGCAGGTGGTCCTGCATCTAAGTACTAATCTTGGGCAACCCTGTTTTGGAGATCATCCAAGATCAACTGGGTGTTGGTTTGTTGGGGCATATGTGTAATTAACAGCAATATAACAGAGAGCCAGCTTGATGTAGTAGTTAAGGCATCAGTCTAGAAACCATGAGATCATGATTTTTATTCCTTTAAATGCCCTGGTAGTGCAGTGGTTAGAATACAGTATTGCAGGGAAACTCTGCCCACAGCCTGAAATTCAGTGCTGATGGGGCTTGAGATTGACTCAGCCTTCTGTCCTTCTGAGGTCGGTAAAATGAGGACCCAGATTGTTAGAAGCAATAGGCTGAGTCTGTAAATCCCCCAGGGAGTGCTGTAAAAGCACTATGGAGTGCTTTATAAGTGCTGTTGGAGCACTATGGAGTGCTATATAAGTGCTGTTGCTATTACGACACCAAGTCAACTTAGGCAAGTAACTTTTTCTCAGCCCTAGGAAGGGTGCAATGGCAAACCATTTCTGAAATCTTGCCAAGAAAACTGCAAGGACTTGTAATCAAGCGATCTCTCTGAAAATCTGATACAATTGAATAGAAGGAAAGAAAAAGTAATATGATGTGCTAATCCTTTCAGGCCAAACAAAAACCCCGAAAAGGCAACAATAACTTTCTGCAATTCATCAGAAATCAGAAATACTGGGCCGGCCTTGTTTTGTCATCTGAGTTGCAGCTTAAGAAGATAAACCTGTTCTGTGTTCTAGTAATCAAGATGATAAAAGGGTTTCAAGATGAGAGATTCATTAGAAATATTAACTCTATTACGGACCAGTTTTTAGAAAGCAACTGCCATTGTACTCTGTGGCACTTATTTCCAGCGAAGAGTGCATAAGATTGCAGCCTAATATTACTTTCCACTAGATAAAATTATATAACGCCCAATTTTAAGAATTTTAAACTTCTTAAATTTAGTTCTTTGCTATTTTACATTGGTTTTACCTTCCTCTCTATTCCCATGTTGACCCAACTTTGTTGAAAATATTATTGCAATGAGGTACTGGTACATAAAGCATTTTTGGTACTTTGAAATGCAGTATTATAATCCATGTTAAGAAAAAGTGCAAGTACACTGGAATTTACAATAGAATTTAGAAGTTTACTGAGACTTCTTACTTTGCTGGTTTGTCTTCTTTTATTAAGTGATTAATAAATCTCTCCAAGAGGAAAGAATATGCATATACCACATTGGTGTAACTTTCTGGCTTTCTCTTCACATGTAATACATTATTATTAATCCATCAGGATTCTGGATTTGTCTTGATTTTGGTTCAGAGAGTTAACTTGCAAAAGAGCTTCTCTCTTTGGTATAATTAAAGCTGGCCACAAAGTGCTTTTCACATTGTTGACATTTGTTGTTGGCACAGTTTTTCAGGGAATCCTACCATGTGATTTAACTGACTGTTGTTGGTATTTTCTGTATGCAAGGGGTAAACATTCATTATTTCCAGAAAGGGAAGAGCTCCTGTGAGCAAGGCTGGGAACAAAATTGTATTTGATTGCCTAAAGGAATAAAAGTGGGTGGAACAAACTGTTTGTCATTGGCAAACTCCAAACCATGTGTGCCAAATCTCCCTTGCTCTTTCTTTGTTTATATGCCAAGTAAAAACAAGCAACCTTTTTATGCTCATTAATTATGAGAACAGATGCCATTCATTTTTCATGAACTTCTTGGTAACATGAATTTATTCATGTCATTAAAGAAAGAAGATATGTATAAACTGGGGGACCAGGACTCCTGAAAAACATTAGTTGTGGCCAAAGAATTCTTTCAGGTAGGCTACAGGGTAAGCTGCAGTGTTACAAAACGGAACAGTTTTAAATACCAGACAAAGCATCATATTATGCATAGTTAATTTAATTCTTATTGAACCAAATCAGATTTGATTTTGTCTTTACCCACTTCCTTGCTACAGCCTCACCCAATTTTTGTTAAATTCAAAACTAAGTAGTGGATTGGATTCCAGGGCCATATTATGTTGCTGAACGTTGGCAGCACTATGA